CCCGGGTCCAAATCATTATCCAATCGGATTCTGCTTCTCGCTGCTCTATCTGAGGTATGTTGATTTCATAGTATTTATATTCTTTAATTAGTTTATGTTTTAATGTTTGTTCGATATGTAGGGAACTACTGTGGTAGACAATTTGTTGAATAGTGATGATGTTCATCACATGCTTGTTGCTTTGGGAAAACTTGGGCTATATGTGGAACATGACAGTGAAAAAAAACGAGCCATTGTGGAAGGTTGCGGTGGTCAATTTCCAGTAGGGAAAGGGGAAGGTCAAGAAATTGAGCTTTTCCTTGGGAATGCTGGAACTGCGATGCGACCTCTTACTGCTGCTGTTACAGCTGCGGGTGGCAATTCAAGGTCTGTCCAATTATTTTCATTTTAACAAAGATATAATTTGGAAATGTAACCATTTAATCATTTCACAGTAGCTGGTTTCCTATATAAGGAATCCAACTGTTGAAAAGGACCTATTAGTTGAGTAAACAAAATGTTGCATTTTCATGGAACTATCTGCTTATATGCTGATGCTTTTTGTTTTGTGTATTACTATCAATTTTTTGAGCTAATGCATATATGTTACACGTCTCTTTAGCTACATACTTGATGGCATACCACGAATGAGAGAGAGACCTATTGGGGACTTAGTTACTGGTCTTAAGCAGCTGGGTGCAGATGTTAATTGTACTCTTGGCACAAATTGTCCCCCTGTTCTTATAAATGGAAAGGGTGGTCTTCCTGGGGGAAAGGTATGTCTCAAATCAATTTGTTATGTTACTGTGGTTTCATATCATTGGATAAACTGCTTTTATGAAGGTCATCCTGGAACCTCATTAGAAATTGCCTTTCTAAGGTAGATATGGGGAGCCACATAAGCTACCACTAGAAATGAGCTTCCATTCCATGTTATTGCCCAATAAATATTACCTTCAGTTAAACTTTCAATTGTCATGCTCATGAAAGCCAATATTTTAACCTTCTGTTGATGTATGGATGAGAATTAGTTTGTAATGCTGTCTGTTGAAATACGAGTTATGGCAGTTTGGATAAACTTTTACGTGGATTCTCTTTTCATTTTTTGGATTTTTCTATGTCTATTACTTGCTTGCCAGGTGTTACTTGAATGTTGCTTTTTGCGTATACATGGGAATGATCAACTTGTTAACTAGTTAGTATTAATCATTGATGTGGCACATATCTTCCTTGGGCCATTTTTGGTAAAGGAACCCTTGATCTTAAATTCTTGAAAATGCAAAAGGAGAGGGAAAGTAGATTTTCCTATCTGTCTAACTATTCATTTCAGCAAATTAATCATATTCATTATATTATGTCTGAGACTTTGGACTATTTGTAAGGTCTAAGCGTTGTCTTCTTTTGCTTATGTTAACTTCTAGGTTGTGTAAAAGAAAAGACTATATTTTGACCAAAATAAAAAGGAAAAAGACTATCTGACTTAACTTCTGGTGTTGCCCAATTCCAATATTCATGATATACATCTGGTGTGGATCCTTTTCCAGGTGAAACTCTCTGGATCAATCAGTAGTCAATACTTGACTGCTTTACTCATGGCAGCTCCTTTGGCTCTTGGGGATGTAGAAATTGAGATAATTGATAAATTGATTTCAATCCCATATGTTGAAATGACTATAAAATTGATGGAAAGGTTTGGGGTCACTGTGGAGCACACTGATAGCTGGGATCGGTTCTATATCCAGGGAAGTCAAAAGTACAAGTAGGTTTCTATGACGTGCACCCATGTAAATAGCTGTACAATTCCATATTCTGTTTCTACTTAAAGTCATAAATTGATAAATCTTTCAGGTCTCCTGGAAATGCTTATGTTGAAGGTGATGCTTCAAGTGCTAGTTACTTCCTTGCTGGTGCAGCAGTCACTGGTGGGACTGTCACTGTAGAAGGATGCGGTACAAGTAGTTTACAGGTACTTTTTGTTGTGAAGTCCATGAATGTTGTTAAGTTCCCTACCAAATTAAATTATATCATATGTTTCCAGTGTGAGTGGAAGTATTTGCCTTGGATTTCTTACAACATTACTTTCTGCCTTTCAAAAGTGTTGTTGAACTGTTTGGGCTGTCTTTAAGGCTGATCCTGGATTCCTTTTCATTGATTATTGCAAATTGTTTTTCCACTAGAGTTATCATACTACCTAGGATGTGCTGCATCTGAACATAAACTCATGCTTATTTTTCTTTGTTTTTCTTTTGATCAAGGGTGATGTAAAATTTGCTGAGGTTCTTGAGAAAATGGGTGCCAAAGTCACCTGGACTGAGAACAGCGTCACTGTCATTGGACCCCCAAGAAATTCATCTGGAAGGAAAAACTTGCATGCTATCGATGTCAACATGAACAAAATGCCAGATGTTGCCATGACCCTCGCTGTTGTTGCCCTTTATGCTGATGGTCCCACTGCCATCAGAGATGGTATGATCTGGCCTTTTGTTTCTCTAAGATGAACATGTTTTGTTATGCATGAATGGCATCAAAGGAGAAAATTGGTCACAAAAAGAATCTCTGTTAATGGGAAACGTCACTCCTAAAATGCCTTTGGATTAAAAGTGATCTTTTTGATTATTGGTAGTTCTGAGCAATAAGTGTTCTTATTTCTGGTACTGAACATTGTACACAAAATTTGAATATACTTCTTTCATTTCTTTCCAACTAAAAACTATTGATAGCCTAAGTACTATTATTTTATCTAATAACATCTTCCCTTCCCTGGTTCTCTTCAGTGGCAAGTTGGAGGGTGAAAGAGACTGAAAGGATGATTGCTATATGCACTGAACTCAGGAAGGTGGATTCTAGCTAGCTTTATGCTTATAAATATCCTCTAGATGATACTAGTTTGGCTTTTGTTTTCCTTAATTTTGTTTGGTTTCACATTGCAGCTCGGAGCAACAGTTGAAGAAGGACCAGATTATTGTGTGATCACTCCACCAGAGAAATTAAATGTGACAGCAATTGATACTTATGATGATCACCGAATGGCCATGGCATTCTCTCTTGCTGCCTGCGCAGATGTTCCAGTTACCATCAAGGATCCTGGTTGTACACAGAAAACCTTCCCTGACTACTTTGAAGTTCTCGAGAGGGTTACAAAGCATTGAATGGCTCTTCTACTTTGTTATACTAGAGAGGAAGAAGAGGATGAGGGATAGGTTCATGCCACTTTCTTTAAAACCAGACTGAAAGTAGTTGAACCTTGTATTTGAAGTCAGCTTGTAATCTTTGATAGTTTCATGTCGGCAAGTTGAGTTTGTTATCAGTTTCTTCCCCGACTTTAACTTGTTTTCTACTTATTGTGAGTTATGACTTGGTGCTTGATCCTTGTCATGAAGACTGTAATACATAATTGAGGATTGATTCTTTTTGCAATGCCTATTCAATTAATATTTAAACGGTTCTCACTTTTGCTGTTTCCTTTCTTGTTATTCTTTGGAAAATGGAAGGGAAAGTGGGTAAGGGAGCCTGCAACTTAAATTTGTTCTTCCATTTGTATGAAAACAGAAATTTCAATTGAAACATTGTTGTGCAAACTAGGAAAAGAAACAAGGTGGGATCTATGGATCGGCAGTGGCAGTTTAGATTGCATCAATAATGAGCGGAAGACGCCGACTCCAGAGGCTATTAGTAATGTTATATTTTTTATCGAGATAACTGTAATGTATGGATCATGGGATATGCATATTCCATAAATTATTTAAATAAAATATGCAATTCTCACAAAACCATAGTATTAAGTGGTCCAAGTCCAGCTTACATTAACTGGCAAGGCATGGAACATGTTGCATTGTTGCCGCTTTGCCAGCCATAAAGAAAAGATAACCGAGGACGTTTTTCTCGACTTCCTTTCCACCAGTTCCTCACAAGGGGTGGGTGACAAGCAGCTTCGAAATTTAATTTTAGAATTTTTTTTTCTCACCATTAATTTATTGCTCATCTTGCTGAGTAACCAAGGTTCCACAATCAAGACACCATACCATAGTCCATCTTGTAAAGTAAAAAAATAAAAAATAAAAAAGGTAAAGATAATCAACAATGAAAAGTTTTTGTACCTAAGCAAAATCAGGATTTTGTATTAGAATGTGAATTATAAAGCAGGCTGTTTAAAGTAATTTCTTGACTTTCAGCCAAGAGTATGAAGAAATCTGGGGTTTTGGTTGTTTCAATTAGAAAGAAAATCCTTGGATGAAGATGAAGATGATACGTGAGGGGCATTGTATAGGGAGATTGGGGTCAGATTTTGGTGTAATTCTTTGTTTTTGAGTCACAAAAAGAGTTTTCAAATGAAGTAAATTACACAAAAAGAGCCTTTGTGCATTATGTTGATTGCTATCTACAATCCAAATGATGATAGCTTAGCTTAACAAAAATTGCAGTCTAAGATATCTGAAAGAAAATTTCATGGAAAGTTTGTTGCTTTTGCCTTTCATTTCAAGCGTGTTTGCACTGCCTGCGCTCACTAATTCTGACTCTTTTTTTTTTCTTTTTCTTATTAGATTCAGACAGTATCCTATGCCTTGCATATGAAAATTCACAATCTGACTTGTTCAGCGATATAATATAAAACTATCAAGAGGCTAGTAGATTTGTAGTGGCACCATTGTCTAGTCTATAAAGTACCATACAGTTGGAGTAAAAAAATTTTTGGTGACAATTTAGTTAATTAGTGCAGATGCCAGGGAATAACTGAGACCTGAATTAACATAAAAAAAAATTATTAAAAAAAAAAAAAAAAAACTCTGCATCAGGGTAATGCTTGCAAAAGAATTCCCATTTTCAGTTTTTAATTCAATATTTAGGTTGATAGGTTTAGAGCCTATGTTTAATGAATATTTTTAACATTATTATAAATAATTATAATTTCATTTAATACATTAAATTAATGAATAAAATTCTTAATTATTATAATTAATATAATAATGTTATAAATAATATATTAATTTTTTTAGTAAGCTGTAATTAGCTTCAAAATCCTCATCCACACCAATACCATCAACAACAAAATCCCAAACTGAATAAGGCTCTTCTGACTAAGGGTTTCAGACGTCAATTATCCTTAAAAACAGGGGACGCCCCAATTTCGAAGGGCTCTCACAGCCGATCAAATTCTAACCTCACAGATAAAAATTAGACAAATGCTGATTTCATATTAGCAGCACTTTTTTCTCTGAAACAGGAACAAGAAAATCTTAACCTCGCCTATTTTTAACCAAGTCAATAGAAGAATCAACCCACTTCATCAAATACTGTTGTTTGACTCTTCTTGCTCTCCCAAAATTCTTCTGTTTCTCTCTCTTCTCCCCAGTGAAGTTTCACACTTTTTAAAGCAAAAATCAAATCTTTGATGCCTCATCTTTCTTTCTAGAGCCATTGAAAGAGCTTTCAAGAAACCGGAAGATTCCCCTTTTCATCACCGTAATGAATAAGAGCCCCTGAAAAACCCAACGATAAATAAAATCAATTTTCGCCGGTCCTTCACCGTCATCACCGCCGCCAAAGCGGAGTTATCCACAAATCACAAATACCCATTTCTCCAAATCCTAACAAACTCAGATTTTGAGTCGTCCAATAACCTCAAAATTTTCAAAACAAATGTCTCATCTTGACGACATTCCATCAACACCAGGGAAATTCAAGATGGAAAAATCACCCTACGTTCACAATAGACTAAGGTGGCACTTTTCTCTTGCAAAGCTCACATTTTGGTCATTTATCTTCTTGGGCCTGATTGTGGTCTTCTTCTTTCGATCTCCATCCTCCAATCCTCTTCTGCAAGATCCATCTCGCCGCTCTCTCCGTACGTACAACTGGGGTGGACCCGCTTGGGAGAAACAGGTCCGTTCCTCTGCACGTATCCGTTCCCGCAACGGCTTCTCCGTTTTGGTTACTGGAGCTGCCGGTTTCGTCGGTACCCACGTGTCGGCTGCTTTGAAAAGGCGTGGAGATGGAGTTCTTGGACTTGATAATTTCAATGACTATTATGACCCTTCATTAAAAAGAGCTCGGCAAGCGCTTCTGGAACGAAGTGGGGTTTTCATTGTGGAAGGAGATATCAATGATTCAGTTCTTTTAAGGAAACTTTTCGAGGTTGTTGCATTTACCCACGTGATGCATTTGGCTGCTCAAGCTGGGGTCAGGTATGCTATGGAAAATCCTAGCTCTTATGTGCATAGCAATATTGCTGGTCTTGTTAGTTTACTTGAAGTTTGTAAGTCAGCTAATCCACAACCTGCAATTGTGTGGGCTTCTTCGAGTTCTGTTTACGGGCTTAATACTAAAGTTCCATTCTCGGAGAGAGATAGGACTGATCAGCCTGCTAGTTTATATGCTGCTACTAAGAAAGCTGGTGAAGAGATTGCACATACTTTTAATCATATATATGGACTTTCTTTGACTGGTTTGAGGTTTTTCACGGTTTATGGCCCGTGGGGAAGGCCGGATATGGCATATTTCTTTTTCACCAGGGATATTTTGAAGGGGAAGTCCATACCAATATTTGAGGCAGCTAATCATGGCACGGTGGCTAGGGATTTTACCTACGTTGATGATATTGTGAAAGGGTGTTTGGCAGCATTGGATACTGCCGAGAAGAGTACTGGTAGTGGAGGGAAGAAGAAGGGTCCGGCTCAATTGAGGGTATATAATTTGGGGAATACTTCACCTGTGCCAGTTTCAGATCTTGTGAGTATCTTGGAGAAGCTTTTGAAGGTTAATGCAAAGAGGAATATTATGAAGTTGCCAAGAAATGGGGATGTTCAGTTTACTCATGCCAATATTAGCTTGGCTCAGAGGGAGCTTGGATATAAGCCCTCAACTGATTTGCAGACTGGGTTAAAGAAGTTTGTCAGGTGGTATGTCAGTTACTATTCTGGAGGGAAGAAGGCTGCTGGATAATTCATTCTTTGTATTGTGGTAGGATCCTCCGAATTCTTGTTCATTATCATTTTTACCATTGTTTTTAACATTTCTCTGTTTGTTGCCTGATTATCGTTATTTCATATATCTTTAATGATTATAAGGAGGTATATCATATCCTACTTTGAAGAAGTTTTGTGATCAGTGGACATTGTTTGCTGGGCAGGCACATGCTGTGTCAAAAGAACACCGGAACAATCTTTTTTTTTTTTAATTTTTCCTTTTTCTGTCCCATGGAATGTAATTGTTGTAGTTTTGGTATTGTAGAATTCATGACTGATAGAGCATATGCTGATTGATAGACATGTATCATTCCTATGCAATTCCAATAAAATAGCACAGATAATATGTTCTTTCCTTTGTGGAGAAATTGGGTCGCATTTTGAAAATTGATTTTTCTTTTAATATTTGCCGAATCCAACCACCCCCCCCCCCCCCAAAAAAAAAAAAAAGAAAAAAAAAAGAAAAAGATGCTTGGTGTATTGAATATAATTTCCCTCATAAATTTATTGTACTTATGTAAAGATAATGTGCTGATGCTGATGTCTTGCCGTGCTCTTTTTCCCTTTTAGATAAATAAGTTTGCTTGACTTTGACACCTAAAAGCCAATGGTCCACTTTTATTTCCTTTCATTTTGAGTTAATGCTAGATATTTGCTCTTTTATTGAGGTACTATGCATTTTTGTTCACTAGCATAGAGGAATTGCTCCTTTCAATTTTATGATCTTGATATTAATGAATATTATATGGTTCCTGAAATATGTTTATATGAATCACTGTTTAAGAATTGACAAAACATTACTATTTCGGGTTTGAATAAATTGTCTGTGGCCTGTTGAACTTTAGGAATGGCTATTATGTTATTACTCTTTATCAAGTGCTATCCAATGTGGTCCATGATACTAGAATCATTCAGTTTAACAATTAGTGGAATACTAGGCAATCTAAGACGAATTTTATTCCTAATGAACTGGTCCTTGTACAACTAAAAGATCATTGTCAATAGAAGCATCTGCTTTAAATTTATCTTTTGATGTAATTTGCTTTAGCTTTGACATTGTCATTCATATACTTATATTTCATCATTGAAAGTGTTGTCTTTATAAGTCTTCAGGGACTGAGAACCTCATGTCATATGATGTGAACAAAATTTATGAAGCCAAAATAACGTGGATTAGTGGAATACTAGGCAATCTAAGATGAATTTTATTCCTTAATGAACTGGTCCTTGCACAACTAAAAGATCATTGTCAATACAAGCATCTGCTTTAAAGTCATATTTTGATGTAATTTACTTCAGCTTTGACATTGTCATTTATATACTTATATACTTATATTTTGTCATTGAAAGTGGTGTCTTTATAAGTCTTCAGGGACTGAGAACCTCATGTCATATGATGCAAACATAATTTATGTGGCCTGGTGGATTGGTGGAATATTAGGCAATCTAAGACTAATTTTATTCTTTAATGAAGTGGTCCTTGTACAAGTAAAAGATCATTGTCAATAGAAGCATCTGCTTTAAATTTATCTTTTGATGTAATTTACTTTAGCTTTGACATTGTCATTTATATACTTATATTTCATCATTGAAAGTGTTTGTCTTTATAAGTCTTCAGGGACTGAGAACCTCATGTCATATGATGTGAACATAATTTATGTAGCCAAAATAACGTGGATTAGTGGAATACTAGGCAATCTAAGACGAATTTTATTCCTAATGAACTGGTCCTTGTACAAGTAAAAGATCATTGTCAATAGAAGCATCTGCTTTAAATTTATCTTTTGATGTAATTTACTTTAGCTTTGACATTGTCATCTATATACTTATATTTCATCATTGAAAATGTTGTCTTTATAAGTCTTCAGGGACTAAGAACCTCATGTCATATGATGTGAACAAAATTTATGAAGCCAAAATAACGTGGATTAGTGGAATACTAGGCAATCTAAGATGAATTTTATTCCTTAATGAACTGGTCCTTGCACAACTAAAAGATCATTGTCAATAGAAGCATCTGCTTTAAAGTCATATTTTGATGTAATTTACTTCAGCTTTGACATTGTCATTTATATACTTATATACTTATATTTCATCATTGAAAGTGGTGACTTTATAAGTCTTCAGGGACTGAGAACCTCATGTCATATGATGCGAACATAATTTATGTAGCCAAAATAACGTGGATTGGTGGAATGCTAGGCAATCTAAGACGAATTTTATTCCTTAAGGAACTGGTCCTTGTACAAGTAAAAGATCGTTGTCAATAGAAGCATCTGCTTTAATGTCATCTTTTGATGTAATTTACTTTGGCTTTGACATTGTCATTTATGTATTTATATTTCGTCATTGAAAGTGGTGTCTTTGTAAGTCTTCAAGGATTGAGAACCTCATGTCATATGATGTGAACATAATTTATGTAGCCAAAATAAACGTGGATTGTTTATTAAAGGAAGATATAAAATACAGGGTCCAACACAGCTAAAATAACTAGTTGTTATTCATTTATTATTATCTAGGAGCTTTTAGTGCATCTTGTGGGTTTGGTTTTGACTTGCCACAGTTGATTTGGTCTACTTTCGAATGTTTCTAGAGTTACAGTGCACTTGGAGTTTATTAATGGTTCTTTCATTGACAATGACCTGAAGGAGATAAACTAGAGGTTCATGGAGAATGATTTTGACTTTGAAGATCTTTTGGCAGCATATGGGATTATCCTCTACGGTAGTTATTAAAGTAGGCAACTGTTTCTTCTGTTTGCTAGCAATTATTTTGGATTTGCTCTGTCTTCATATCCACCAATTAAACCGTCTCTCTTGTGAATTTTGTTATGGCCAGAATTTGTGGAAAACGCAAGTTTATATAGGGAGAAGTCCGTTTAATTCCAGGCAGCAATTGTTGGTCTAAAAATTTTTGCTTTTGTTGTATCCTCGTGAGGCTTGTGCAGTTGAAAAGAGATTATTCTCAAAAGTCTATTCCACTTTCACCATTCTTTTCACTATCCAGTATTCACATCAGATGGAACGAATCTTAGATCTTTATAAGGCACGGGGCTAGGATGACAAATATACCTATACCCTTAAAAGAGTTTTCATTTGGTCTTATAAAATCGAATTGTTTTTTTAATTGAGTTTCGGATCAAAATCGATTTTTTAAAGCTGGAGTCAGATCTGAATTAGATTTTAGGTAAATCTTTTCCGAGTCCAATATATATGCACATATATATATATATATTATTTTTATTATTTATTTAATTTTATATTTATATATTATATTAATAAAATTAGTATTTAATAGTTTAATTTAAGATATTAATTTAATAAAATATTATATTTATATATTAAAAATAATATTTTATATATTAAATTAATTTCAAACTGGATTTATTATGATTTTTTATGTATTAGATTGAGTATGAAAAAAATATTTTGATATCTGATCAAATTAAAATCAAATATATATTTTATGAAATTAGATCAAAATAAAAATTTATTTCAATCCGATTCATTATTATCGTTAATTCGATTCATTATTATCGTTAGTTGTGACTGACGAAATAATAAAGCTAAAAAAAAGAAAGATTGTAGGAAATAGGATACCAAGGATGCATACTGTAGGATTTCTGTACCTGTCAAAATTTTCATGTAATCCCGAAATGCTCAACAGTTTTTCTAGGCAAAACCTGTTAATGACCTCTTATTAATCGCTTTTAACCCTTCATTGTGGCCCTTTGCCAAATGCAAAACAAAGTCAAAAGGTCTGATCATGTCAGGGTGGCAAGAAATATTCGCTTGGCAACATCTGCTGAACCAAACCACACTACCATTGTAAATTTGTACTCCACATTGTTTGCTGAAATTAAGAAGGAAATTTGCAAATTTTTACATCAAATCATACAGATTCCAGCTATGTTTCCACAGTTCGACCAAGAAAACAGAAACCGAAATAGAGAAGTATAAGAGTGTACATCAAGGAATTAAGCTTGTAATATAGTCCTTTATAATCCAGTAAAGAATCAGTCGCATTTCGCACGATCCTTGCCGTCTCTGTAAGCTCGCTCTGCTAATGTATTCAAGGAATATCAGATTCACCAAAAAGTGGGAAAATCATACCCACTAAGCGAACGATGGTCGGGTGCCCACCCAAAGTGGATAACTTGCGTGACACAATGCGGTAGTTTCCCTACCGCTCCCCTCCATCAATGTATCATAAGATGTATTAGCTATGCAAAACCAAATGAAATTACTCAAAAGTCATATTTTGTTCTTCCACTCTTCAAGATGAGGCACAACATATCTGAAATGTCAGCAGAAGAACTGAAAAAGTTCCAAGCCTCAAGCATTAGGCGTTTCCTTGATCCTTTAAAATGAACAACCTGTATCCAGTTAAATGAAAATACAATAAATTCATACGTGAAACAACTTCAGCAAAAATATACTCGAATTTCAGGCTCACCTAGCAACCAAAATAATCATGAAAGGCTTAAATACCTTAACATCCAGAGGCATGCCATGAAACTGGCCAGCACCCTCTGGTGGTGTCCAATTATATGTAGCACATGGTAAAAATAGCACCGATGCACCACCAATCTCTTTTATAAAAGCCTGTGCTTTACTAAATCTTTTTCCATTAAAAGAGGGATGGGATTTTACAACCCAGGCAAGAGCAAACTGATCACCAAGCATTCGGGAAGCATTCATGTATCTGGAACTATAGACTTCCAATACTTTTTGTAGAAAAATTTTTGCCCTGCATGCAGGTACATATATATTCATCTTCTTCAGTGAAAATTTTGATAGTATGTTGTCAAAATATTATGAGGAAAGAAAAGAAATTGTTTACTCTGAACTCACTACAAATCATATCCTTCATTGGAAGGAGAAATTCTGAGTTAAATACCTCCCACACCACCTTCAGCCCAGCTGGCCCATGAAGGCTTAGGTATAGAAGTCAACAAAACCAGAAGACTGAAAGTGGAATAAAAAGAAGGGTCTCAACCTTAAAATACCATCACGTGTACCCCTCACAGCAATAAATCCAGAATTCAGCGGCTGCTCTTTGTTGTTCCTGAAGGTGAGGGCCAAATGAAAGTTTTGGTGCATTTCAAATATCTGTCCTAGGTCATCAATTACAGCAATATCTGAGTCTGTAAAGATGAAATGAGTTATACGCCCCAGCTCCTGAGATAGCTTCTCAAGCCTGATTTCCAGAAAGGTCTACATAGAAAAATGGCAGTTTTGCAGATAAATTAGGATAACGTTTTTCATAATTAATCATGATCAGATGGTCTTGGACTTCTATGATTGTCATGACTTTAGTTTATCTTGATAGCTTCAATGACTTCTTTTATGGTTAAAAAAAAAAAAAAGACAGGTTTTACAAATTGCTCTCCCCATCCAATAAGGAGGAGAAAGAGTATAATAATGTTAGTCAAAAAAGAAAAAAGACAGGTTAGGAGTGGGGGAAATCATCTTTATTTAAAAAGAAAAAAAAGAGGGGAAACATTAAAAGATAAAGCAGATACAAGAAAGGCTATGAAGCTTTTTCGGGCTTCAGAAAATCAAAAAAGAAAACTAAATATATGGTTAATGGAACATACTATAAATGAACAGCAAAACTTTTCTACCTATATAACAATGCGATATGCTCTTACAATGTAAGACCTGATTCTTTGAAGCATCAATTTGTCTCGGGAATATTCACCCTGAATGGGATGTACAGTAACTCTGTTTTGGTGCACTGAGAGATCTGATTCTGGATCAGTCAGAATAATAATATTGCTCTGAGGCATTCTCACCTGAAAGATTTTAATTCAGAACTCCCATTAAATAAAAGCTCCAAAGCAAATGTAGGTTTTAGTTTAATGAATGCAAGATACAAATTAGAACAAATCCTGTACATTACAATAATTCCATAATACATAAGAAAGTAAGTTAAAAACATTAAATATGAACTTATATATAACAGAGTTTAGTTCTGAAACTTCAAGCAAATTAAAAGATGTTTGTAGTTGACATTTCCATCTGAAAGCTAGATGCATAATATTGCATGATCTTTAACCGGAGAGTTACCTGAATGAAGTTAATGAAAACATTCAAAATGGCCATTGATCTCTCTGACTTACTATATGAAGCATTCCCAACAGTAACCAAATTTGATGATCTATTCACAAGAGTGTCAAGTGAGTTGTTATAAATGGTAAAAACAGTGACAAAGGCAATACCATCTCCAACACCAGAGACATGAGAAGGGTTTGAAAATTGGGTCTTGTTGAGAGCTTTAACTCCTGCAACATATCAAAAACATAAAAACGCATAGAATATCACATCAAGAAGTTTAGGAGCTGGGGTCTCAATACAAGTATTTTCTTTGATTTTTTTCTTTTTTTATTCAATGAGAACATCCTATGTGGTATCACAGATGTCTAGACCTAACAGACTCCTAAATTCATCCACCAGTTATTCCAGTATCTAGGATTTTTGAAAATGAATGCAAGTCTAGGTTTTTGGGCCCTTTTACCAAATTAATGTCCTATCAACAAGGAATTAGAAAGAACCTTGACACTGCAAACGATTGGGCAAGCCTTCTCCAGCAGCAGGTCCAAGAACCAGGTGATCAAATTTCTTGCTATTTTTCTTGGGGGCATCTCTAACTGCTGAGTTCTGATCATCAAGTTTCTTGGTATTTTCCTTAGGGGCATCTCCAACTGTTTGGTTCTGATGCAATTCCAGAACTGAAAACATGCAAAAAAGGGATCATTTTAAGGTTTGCAAATAATAAACAAAAAAGACATTACAAAAATCCACAAGTGAATAGATTGGTAGCAAAGAGGAACAACCACCAGAGAACAAATAAGGAAGAATGAAAATAAGTGGAAAACAGAAGAGGAAGCGACGCCATCCAACACATGCCTTCATGCCTAATCAATCTTTCCGCTGCTGCATAAGAGTAGGGAATTTTTTTTTCAATGGTGCCATAAAAATAGCCTAAAATGGATGCAGCAACCAAAAAAAAATATATATATATATATATATATATATATATATATATATATGAAATACGGTTTTTTAAAATGGGAACCTACTAAATTTACAACTTCATTAACAAAAACATTCGTGAATCCGATATTAAGACAAATCATGATAAAATGTTCCGATTAGAGGTAGATTTTAGAAGTCTCAGAAGTTAAAAGCACATGGATTTCAGATCAGGTTCAAGTAAATGGAAGCAAAAAAAAATTCACAACCATGCCAGGCCAGCCAACAAGTATAGAAAGTAAACACAAATGAAAATTTTAACAACGAGATGCAGTTGAAGAAGATGAAGATCCCAAACCTGGATTAAAAGCAGGAAATAAAGCAATGGGTTTCTTGACGATGCGATAAAGAAGAACTTTTATCTCCTTGCCTAAATGACACAAGAGAATCGGAAATTGTGTACTAATCAGGAATTTACGAGATTCTTACTTCTTGCTTCTTCTAGAAATTTTTTTAATCAAGTATGTTATTAATAAAATGTTGATTTTTTTATGTATTAAACAAATTATTTCAATAAATAATTTTTTTTATACAAGGAAATTCTTTGAAAATAGAAAAATCGCTTACATGTATTATAATTTGAACTTTAAAAATACCAAATATTGTTTTAAAAATGATTATATAAATAAATTGAATTAAACTTTAATTTTATTTCAACAAATAATTTTAAGCGTACCATAATTCATAAATTGAATTTAACTAACAAAAAAATTTTGTTTTCCTAAAATCCTTTATCGGTCTACTAAGTGGTAACCGATCTCTTTATTATGTATTCGGCCCAAAATTTTCCAATAAAATCTTTCCCGTGACGGTGTTGGTCCTGAACGTGACGGGAAAGATCTCAATATTCTTTCAGGACTTCACGGTTCAGGTTCGCCGAAACCAAATGCCGGTGTTGGTTCACCGATTTTTACGTTTTTTCATTTTCATTTTTTCCCATTTTTGATGTGAATGAATTGGGTCTGAACTCATAAAGCTGAGATAACTGCTGGATATCAGCTTGGGAGCTGTGGTACTATTTGTCTATTATAGCCCAACATGTCAGCAGCCCAAACAAAAAGTTCCGAGATCCACATCTGAACAGAACGTTTTGGGCTAATGGAATAATGGAAAAATAAATTTCACCCGGTTCCTGAAAATCTCATCGGTTGGTAAAGATATGGTCGATTTTAGCTATGCTATAATGTGGCCAAGTGAACATGTTTCAACAAAATGAAGTAATGTATCTGATCAAATTGAAATGATAATAACACAGATTTAAAACAGAGTACAAAAATGATCATTCGTAATCCAATTAACATTCAAAAAGGTACAGGTCGTCTATCTGGCCATGATTCTATCTTCTCAAAGTACTTGATAGGTACAACCCCATCAAAACCTTCAGTCAATATCACCTTGTTGTCTGAAATGTATAGTTTCATTCCCTCTGCAATCATTATTGATAGAACAAGAGAAGGAAACATAAACTTATTAGCCGAGAAAAAAAAAAAAAAAGAGATTAATGGTTGGCAGTGATTTGAAAGAAGAGTGAGAAAGACATCGTTTGTTGGCTGCCTGAAACTTGAAAGAAGTATGCATGCTTACCTTCCAGAGCTTTTTTGACATTAAGAAAGATCAAAATGTTAACATCTCGTCTCATACCTGAAGAGTAGTAAAGCACAGATTATCAGTAGCTATCCAACTTCACTAGGGCTCCATCTATGTCTATCACTACAACTACCAAACAGTGCTCGGCATTTGCTAAATCCAATTACAAAATTGGAACCTTAGTAATCCTTTAATAGTCTTTAGCATTAATCCTCGGGTGAAATGTAGATAATAGTCATAATATGACCCAACCAGTTTGTCAGGTATACCAAGCTGGGATATCAAAAACAAAGAGCAAAAAGAAAGGGCCACAAATTTAGCTGCTAAGACCATATGTCGAAGTCCAAGATAATCCCATCCGACCAGTTCAAGAAAAATAAAAAGGAAAAGGAAAAAATATGACACGTCATTACTATCATCTTGTAAAGAGATTTTTGCTGATATCTCACCACTAATTACTTCACCATCTGCTGGCAAGCCACTTGAGAAGTGTACATGCAATCTTTTCATGCGCTTCAAACCAGACTCCAGAATTGATTCCAAATTCCTCTTATAGGTTCCATGTACACATACTGTCATCTCAGGGAAAATAAAGACGATTAAGCAAAATAAAAGACGTAAAACAAGAGTATCAATCTGACAGACATAATATTGACATCATATTCTTAGTTTCTTACCTTGCACTTCATCAGCTGCAAGGATTTGTTTTAATAAGCTTTCGGACTCAACTGTCTGCCAATAGCACATAACAGACCTTTTAGACAGAGCAGCCAAACGGTAATTTATATGCTAAAACCAACAGGGAAGCATAAAATAAGAGGAAAAAGATTCTGAAAAAGCACAAAGGAATTGGTTTTTTAAAGAAGGATTCATCACCGTTACTGTGTGGCCTTGGTTTGCACGTATCAAAAGCATCCCATTTTCCTCCAGTAGGCTAAATCGTTGCTTATTATCCTTTCTGACAGCCTAGAATCAGGAAATAATCAATCACAAAAAAGAATTATTAGTAGCATATCAATTTAGAAAGAAACCTCATGATCATGAAGCAAGACCATGAACTTTTTTCCTTTTAATTCCAGTAACATATTTCGGAGACTAAGAATGTAAATTACTACCGGTGACATCTCAAAGGTTTCTTTATAAAAAGAAAAGTACCCAAAGAAGCCATTTTCACAACAAAAATTTCATACTGCAATGATAGAAATGGGAAATTTTCAATCAAACTCTAGCATCAGCTTTTTTCACAATGTATTCAGACTTGAAAATAAGAAAAAAAAAAAAAGAATAGACTCTCAACAGTAAACGGAGAGAAGAATTAGTCCACAGAAACAACCTCCTTGATATCATCAACTGTGTGTGACCTTAAAGGAATATTGGCAAATGTTTTCAAATTCAGCTTCAGTAAATCTTCAACTTTGACATAACCATCACTTCTCATATTCAAATTCAGTTCAGTTGCCATATGTCGCAGAGTTCGTGTCCTAAAGATAATAAAACAAAACAAAATACTAATCAATAAAATCACTTTGGTCGAATATAACCATGGTCGTAAGCAAAAGAAATGGATAAAAAAATTTGACAAAATGCTAATCTGCAATTTCGCTTACAAGAGTCTACCAAGAGCATCAATTTTGTCCTTGCCGCCGCTACCGCCACCACGGCCTCTGGATCTTTCTCGATCATATTTCATCTCTCGGCCTCTTCCTCTGCCTCCACTGCCAAACCCCCCCCCCCCCCCCCCCAAAAAAAAAAAAGAGCAAAATTGTTACGACACGGTTAAATCGATTTTGGCTACGAATTGCGCCCAAATGTTTAAAATACCTTGTATTCGAATGGGCAAAACATGAGAAAGACGACGACGTCGTGTTATTAAGGTTTGTGTTCTCCATTAAAATTAGGGCACGAAACCTGGAAAGCTGAGAGCGTACAGTTGGATGACGAACAACGCAATAGCGTAAAATTCGAATACTGCCGTTGCTCAGGAGAGCCCACATACGGGTGGGATTGATGCTATGGGAACTCTACTTTACAGAAGACGATGACGATGGCGTAAGGTAATAATGATACGATGACGATGTGGGCTTTTACGTTGTTTTATACGAACAATACGATAGGTCCCAACCTATCGTCTGTAGAAATTGGTTTCATTTGGGCAAGCTGGGCTATAAAAATCTCTTGATCAAAGGGCTTTCAATCAGAGATCTGGGCTTCTAAAAGGAATCGACAAGGATTACCACGTCCCAAACTTCCAAATTGTGCACAAGGAAACGATCCAGTTAATCATTTGCCGAGATAACATGTTTTAACACATCAAAAACCAACATTTCAATCAACATACTTATCCCTTGCACCCAATATATATATATATGGAGTTGTGATCTCCAAACGTGCGCAGAATTATCTACAAGGTAATCTTTTCTGGCCTTTCCTTTCAGCAGAGAACTCTGTCAGCTCAATTTGACAAAATTCTAAACCAACGAGAACCAAAGAAAATAAATCCAAGTAACAACCACTAAAATAGTACGATTCAACATCAAAATATTTTAAATGAAAAGGATCAATTCTTCGGATACACGTAAACCAAACTTAAACTAAGACTTCGCCTCCTAAGTATCTCACTTTCAAACCATAAGCGAACAAGTTCTTTAAAACCATTAATAGATTGTAATACAAAAAGGTTTAGTCCTGCATATTAAGAAAATTTTCAATCAAGGCACAGGAAGTTGGTGTAAAAGGTGCCTTCTCTAAGCCACAAGAGTGCTGGCGGTGGTAGACTCACTGCATAAAGAAAAGTGAAGTATGTTAAGATTTGCGATTTACAACCAATCTCGAGACCAGATAGTAGAGGCCATAACCACCATAGACAACTATCATGAGGGTTGAGGACATTTTCTTAAAGAGCATGCCTCTGTCCATAAGATATACTATGCATGTCAAGAACATCAAAGGGGGCAGGGAAAGAATTACTCACTATTTCCACACAGGTGGCAGCTTCTTTGTCTTTTTGTAATAGCGAGCAAGTCGGTGGATCCTGCTCTCAACCAAGATCAACCTAAACTTGGAATCCTTGTCCTTCCGGTTCCTTTCAAGATGCTTTCTGATGGCAACGGCTTTCTTAATCAGGTGGTACAGATCCTCAGGAATTTCGGGAGCAAGACCTGACAAGAACAAAAGGATGAGTCGAATGTTCTGTTCAAACATGAAGGAAAATCCACCAGAAGACAATGTTAATAAAGATGTACCATGGGCTTTAAGTATCCTCAAAATCTTGCTGCCTGTAACACTCTTCACCTGAGCAATCCCATGGGAATCACGAAGAATAACACCAATTTGAGAGGGGGTCAAACCCTTCTTTGCAAACTTGCAAATGTTCTCCTCAACCTAAAACATGAAATCAAGATTAATGAATAATGCCAAAAAGAGTAAAAACTTCTTTTAAGGAGAGAGCAAACCAAAGAAGTGGTGAGTATTTCAATGCTGCATTGAGGGATGTAAAACCAGAAACAATTGTCTCTAGAACATTCACGACAAAACATAAGAATTAGTTTGTGGAAGATTAAATTAACTCTTATTAATACACCATCATTCAGCACTCAAGTTTCTGGCTACACTTGTGAGATACATAAACCAGAATATCTTCCAGAAGAAGATAGTTAACCAAAGATTGAAACAACTTGAGATTTATGACAAAAAGAAAGACCGGTGGTCGGCCAAACTACCAACAAAAACGAATCAAAGACCATTAGGATTCCACATTTCAGAAAAGTGAAAAAAACAAATATTGAAACATAACTAAATGCACTATCAAACTTAAATATTAATCATTGTGTAATTGATTCCACAGACTTCAATTTTCTCTATAGCTTGTTTAAACACTTAAACCATGACAAATTTAATTTCATGAAGCAATCAGCTTAAAACACTAAAGATTGAATTTATAGACTTTAACCAGAGCATTACCATTGTATTGTAATCAATGAGAATAACAACTATTTCCGGTACAAATTACTGAAAATTCAATTTATCAAACATCCGGTTCTTCTCTGCCACTATTCTAATAAAAAAGGTCTTGACTCTTGAAGATTCAATATATTTAATAATGGATAAAAGAGACTAACTCCACTAAAAATAATGAAACAAAATTTGGCTCATAAAAATTAAAAAAAAAAAAAAAGTTGAATTTCATTTCTCAAAGTAGAAAACAATAAAAATATCATTCATTTTCTAACCAAAGCAAATAAATTAAGAGAATGATTAAAATAAGTGACTCACATCTTGAGAAGAGATCTTCAACCAACTAGGTGGAGTCCTCTTGTAGGGCAGAGCAGATGCGGAAATACCCTTACTGCACAGAAATTCGAATCAATCATGAAGAAGCTACAATCACTGAGATAATCGTAGGATTGTTTTGAGAGGATAAAGAATCAAGCGAGAGAGAAAACACAAACCCTCGGCTGTGCATACGACCCATGGCGGCAGAGTTTCGCGCTTGGCTGCTTTGGCTGCTTCTCACTCGACCTCTGCTTCTGGCTTGCTAGTTCTGAGCAAAGAAACCCTAGAATAGAAATGGAAGCTCGGGCTAGGGCTTTTTTGCTTTCGGTCTTTTGCTAGTGATTTATTGGGCCATGTTACCCGTTGGAGGTTTAATTTTTAAGAAGTGGATTTCCTACATATCGGGCCACACACCATTAAGTTGTTGTCTTATGTGACCCAAAAGCCCAACGATAACTTTTATTGGAAAATTTTGGGCCGAATACATAATAAGAGATCGGTTACCACTTGGTAGACCGATAAAGGATTTTAGGAAAACAAAATTTTTTTGTTAGTTAAATTCAATTTATGAATTATGGTACGCTTAAAATTACTTGTTGAAATAAAATTAGAGTTTAATTCAATTTATTTATATAATCATTTTTAAAACAATATTTGGTATTTTTAAAGTTCAAATTATAATACATGTAAGCTATTTTTCTATTTTCAAAGAATTTCCTTGTATAAAAAAAATTATTTATTGAAATAATTTGTTTAATACATAAAAAAATCAACATTTTATTAATAACATACTTGATTAAAAAAATTTCTAGAAGAAGCAAGAAGTAAGAATCTCGTAAATTCCTGATTAGTACACAATTTCCGATTCTCTTGTGTCATTTAGGCAAGGAGATAAAAACCCACCTCTTCTGATACCAATTCCAAACCACAAGTAGTTCTTTAAAAGCACAAAAAGTTTAGTCCTGCATATCGAGGAGAATGTCAATTGAAGCGAGCGAGGCCTTCATTTTTCTCTCAAGCTATCTTCTTTTTTTACTACTAAATCATGAAAAACTTAATTTCATGAAGCGATTTGTTTAAAATGTATACAACACTACACGCTGACGATAGATTTCAAGCAGAGCATTGCCATTGTATTGCAGTCAATGAGGATAACAACTATTCATCGTTCTATTTATTCAAGCATCGGGTTCAATTCACGTAAGGGACTCAAAAGTGTAACTTCACTGCGCATACACATTTTTAAAGTGACTCAGATCTTGAGAAGAGATCTCCAACCAACTAGGTGGAGTCCGCTTGTAGGGCAAAGCAGATGCAGAAATACACTTACTGCAAATCCAGTAAAATACAAGTAAGAAGCAGCTGTAATAGAATTCACCGGAATAATCATAGGATTGTTTAGGGATGAAAATGAACCAAGTGTGAGAGTAAATTGAGCCAGAACCCAATAATTATTGTCTTATGTAGCCCAAAAGGTTTCATTGACAAAATGGATTTCCAGCCTACTCTATTTCTAAGAGACCTTTACGAGTTACAATGTTTACTGGTATGAACTTATGATATTTTTCCTTTATATTGCTGCCATGAAACAATGGAATTTGGAAACATCTTTTTTCTTGCCTGCCAATTAGAATAGACTCAAGTATAATAATGGAGAGAAAAAGAGAAATCTCTAGGTCTGTGTGACCCTAAAAGATCTTGGTTTAAGTAGACAAAGGATGGTTAACGTGGGTTGAAAAAGTTAAGAGAGACTTGACTTCCAATTCCTCTATTGATTCATGCTTTAAACAGTGAGGCTTTGAAGCCAAGGCATCAAAAGAGGAGAGTGTTGGATGCGCAATTAAAAGATAGACGATAAAAGCGAGACCTGTCTTGTCTTATAATTATTTGTTTCAACCTAGGTCGTTGTTGCATTGTTCGAAAATTACAAGTTTTTTGATAGTTCCACTTGTCTTCTTCGTGTGTTTTGTTGCCATTGTTTGTCCAAAGAGAATCAGAACTCCTGTGCCCTTCATTAGTTTTCAATTTTCATATGCAGTTGTGCCATTTTTATTTCCCTCGTTATCCCCACGTTAGTTCAAAATTTGATGAGCTGAAAAGCTGAAAATTTGGAGTAATCAGGAGTAAGGACCGCTTTTCCTGAGGACCAAATGAGGGCGTCCCGCAAGGAATGAGACTGTTGCTGAGTTTCTTCAGACAAAAGGCTACGACGTTACGTAGATTGGATGCCCCATAATTTTATGCGTCGGTTTTAAATGATGAGAATTGAAAACGCAGAAAGAAAATGAAAGGCTATGATTTTCGACACATCTGACCATCCAAGTCACAAATTCAATCATGATTGACAAATCCCATGTCGTCATTTTTTTTTTCAGAAGTTGTAATTATGGCAGCATAAGTGCCCTAAAACACAATTAAAACCCAAATGAAGGAAAAACAATGGAATTGAATACGGCCAAAAATATTTTTTGAATTTCAATCGAATAATGCTAATTTTAAATTCCAGTACGAAATGAGGAATTTGGAAAAAAAGAAAAAAAGAAAAATGTTGGTCTTGCTTGACAGTGAGGTGGGCAAGAGGGCATGGTCACCCCAACCCCAGACTACCGACAATGTGGAGAAATGGAGAGCCCCCACAAAATCCGTCCAATTTGATTTTCTCACCAGCGTCCAATTAATGGGGTTTCACAGTTTCCCATGCTTTGATGAAGGAGACTTGGTCTTAAAGTGGTAAGGTACAACGAAATATTAAAGCTCGATGTTCACATGAAACCTTAACAATGATGGTCCATTATCATTGTCGTCCAACTAAATCAACATCAATCTCCCATTTACGTTGCTAAAAAAATAAATTTGAAAAAGGGAAATGATCAAAAGGAAGGGATGTCATGGTGTTTATGTACCCTGTCATGGACAGAACCGAAGGAATTGATTCAGTGATAGGGTTTATGCAGTGAATTGAGCCATACTTTGAATTTATTATTAAAAAAAAACCATACTTTGAACTTTGGCATTGGAGTAAGTACATATTTGCAGGGAATTCAATCTGGTCATCCAGCTGTCCTGGTATGGGCAGCCTGCTTTCAACTTTCCCAGAATCCCAGTTCATTTCATTCCCTTTTTCAACTAAAGTTGGGTAAAGAAAGCACTATGATGATCATTTTTACGAGAACAATTTTCAAGGGAAGAGGGATTATGTTTATGTTCTCTTGAAAATGATGTTCTCCTAACCTATCAAATCCTTCTCACCGTGAAAAAAGTTTCTTACTCTTTCATCTCTGTTAACAGCTACCAGTTATCAATTCCTTTCCTGTTCTCTTGAAAATGACTATCACCGAACTTATAAAATTCTTTTTAACAAGAAAAAGGTTCCCTACTCTTTCATCTCTGTTAATAAATTTAAAATTTTTATATATGATATATATAAAATATTATCTATAAATTTATTAATTTTATCAAAGTAAAAATATTAAAAAAAATCAGGATATTTTATATTTTAAATTTTTTAACCTTTAAAAAAAATCAAAAAATTTTAAAAATATCCAATAAAAAATTCTTCTTCTATTTACATTTACCGCTAACAATGCTATCCAAGCTAATATTACTAATCACTCTTATTTTTACTTGCTCCTTATGCTGTACCCGTAAAAATCAGTCTTTTATTATGACCTATTGGATACTCCAATGATCCATTCATTCTCAACGTCCCTCAAGAAAAATTATTATTATTATTTTTTAATATAAATTTGAGGCACATAACCCTAAATCACTTATTTCTAAATTATGGACTACAATGCATTTGAATGTGGTCCTGACCTGAAGATTTACAAATGTCCCAGCTTGGCTCTACTCGTCAAGCTACGTGAATGTTTTCAACAAGCTAACTAAACAAAAACATAAAAGAATGTTTTAAACTTTTACTTCAATATGTTTATTAATGTGTATTTAAGAAATTTACAAAGCAGGGCTATAAGCATTTATGTGATATGAGAGCTTAGTGTTTATGTCATATGGAGGCCACACCTACAGCAGGACAGGCCCACAGTCACTCATTTTCAAATTATTATCATTTCTTTTTCTTTGGGAAAAAATAAAGAGAATAAA